TTCTAGTTATATCTAGAGCCTATGTTGTACATATAGTACATATTTACCTAACCTTTTAAGATATCTAGAAAGATGTCTGTGTACTAAGTTTTCTAAATATCTAGCTATTAACATAAATTAATAAAAATTCTTATTTTATCTATAAAAATGTTATATAGTTAACTTATATAGTTATTATTCTTTTTTTATGCTTTTTAGAATTATATAATTTTATTTACTAGAAGTTTTTCTTTAGCAGTTTCCCTTTAGAGTAGAAGTTTATACAGGTTGTAATGTAGTCTAGATTGTGTAGGTAGTATTAGTAGTGCATACACTACTGCAGGCGGTAGTGTGTACAATTAAGGGTGTAGAGCAGGCGTTAGGTAGAGTGGCATGTATTGTTTATACAGTAATTAGTATAGTGCTAGCTAAGGTGTAAAAGTAAGTAATACTAGTATATTTAGTGTTAATAGCAGCATTATGTTTAGTCTGCTTCTGTGTAGAGCCTTATATAGTAATAAAAGTTATGTATAAAGCCTTTCTAGTGTAATTACTTTCTCTTATGCTATATTATATAGCTTCTAGGCTTAGGTACCTTTAGTGCCTAGCTGTAGTGTAATTTCCTTGTCCTCTAGCATTTATATAAGCTCTTTTTTAAACGCGCAGCTAAGTGCTAAGAAGTCTTATAGTGTTTATTCTTTAAAATCTTTTATATACACACTTAGAAAAGTAGCGCCCTTTTAAGTTATTATATGTAAATTAGTAATTATATAACTTATATATAATTAAGTTTATAAGCTTATTAAAGCGTTTAACATATTAATCTTATTATTCTAGTACTCTAGGCTAGTCTTATTCTGTAGTATTACCTTTAATATCTTTATGTTTTTTATAAGTTATTTATATAATAAAAATTATTCCTTATTCTTTCTATTATTACACAGAGTTGTTAGTTGCTAATAGGATTTTATTATAATAGTATAGTTAATTACTTTTTTAGTAAATTGTGTAGGTACTGCTATTGTCTAGCTACTAGGTTGTGCAGCTTTAATAGCTTTAGTGTGCGCCTTACACTATCTCCTCCTTACTTTGTACAGTAGCAGAGCTTGCTGTATAATGCAAAGGATTAATGTGCTATTATCTAGCTGCTAGGTTGTGCAGCTTTAGTAGCTTTAGTGTGCGTCTTACACTATCTTCTCTTTGCTTTATACAGTAGCAGAGCTTGCTATATAATATAAAGGATTAATTTGCTATCCTAAGGGATAAGTAACTAAATAAAGTACCTAATAAGGTGTAAGTACTCTACTGTTACTTTTCTTAAGGGATAGGTAATAAAACAAAGTACTTTATAAAGCGTAAGTACTTTATTATTACTCTTGCTAATTTATAGTTAATTAAATTAACTACTAATTAGTGTTAAATAGGCTTTAATAGCTAGCTGCTTATAGTATAAGCACTTAAGTAGTAAAAGTAAGAGTAGTGTATAGTGTGCACAGTGTATAAGGTAGGTAAAGTAAGGGTAATATGTTTCTAGTTCTATTACTCTTATCTTTCCTCTGTACAGAGAAAAAGGGGGATATCTAGATGTTTGCGCACAGAGGTTCGCGCACAAGCATTATGTGACATAGATACGTGATCCTGCTTGTGCGCAATTGCTTGTATCCAGGCCGCGACGCTGCTGCTGCGTACAGACAGTAATTACTATACCTAGAGAACTATTTAAAGAATTAGACTATATAGAGATAGACACTTTAATTACTAATAGCACTTTTTAAGTTATAGTTTACAACTTAATAAAGCATAAAAGTTAAATTTTTAACCTTTACCTTATATAAAAAGTAAAAGGTAAAATAACTTAACTATATAAAAAATCTTACCTAGTGTTTAATAGCTACTTAGATAAAAAAAAAAAAAATCTTTACTTAATTACTAACTATTTAAAGGATAAGCTAGAGACTACTTTTAGCTATAAAAGTAAGCCTAAAAGCTATGTATAAAATGCATTTTAAACTACATAATATTATATAAGTGTACATTTAATTAACAGATAAGTTTATGCGCACATTATATATAAAGCTACTAAAGAAAATGCGCTAGAGCTTTCTACTAAATACTATACTCTAGGTTGTACAACTCTTATATAAAGCTGCTAAATTAGGACTATATTAGTTTAAAACATACTATAACTACTATAAAAAAAAGCTATATATACACATCTTTTTTTATAACCTCTAGCTTTTAATTACTAATAAAAAAGAGCACACTTTTAGTATTACTAGCTTATAAATAAATAATACTTTAAGCATCATAATAAAGAATTTTACACAAAAAGAAAAAAAAAACTATAAAAAGTAAAGTTTTATATAAAAAGTAAAACTATTTTAGTAAAGAAGAAGCTTATTAAGTTTAATAGTAAAAGAATTAAACTTACACATAACATAGTAGTTCTTACTTAGAAAAGATAAGTAAGCTACTTTTATATAATTAACTTAAAAAATAAAAATTCTATATAATAATATGTTAAGCAGCATATAAAAGGGGTATACATTATATTTATATGTTAACTAAAGGCAGCATTTAACTTATTTATTACTGCATAAACTATAGACTCTTTATATAATAATATTAATACACTTAACATATAAATTTAATAGTAAATAAATAATAGTAAGCGCAGTCTTACCTTCCTACTATTATAGCTTAATTATATAAAGCTATTTATTTTTATAAATAAATTATTTACTAATAATAAAAACTTTAGCTTATAGCTAAATTTTTTAATTATATTAAGTAATAAAGACTATATAGAGTAAAGTAACTACTTTAAAATACTAGGTAATATTATACACTAGAATTTTACTAAGTGTAAAAGAGTAACTAAAAGTGTCTTTACTAGCAAACTATATAAAATAGTTAAAAGGTTTAATAATGTAATTACTTTTAGTATAACTTTATAGTAAATTATATAAACACTTAAACTACTACTAATTCTAGTAGTAATCTACATAGATTTAAAGTTTTTATATAATTACTTTATTAAGCTAGGCACTACTAGTAAAAAGTAACTTATAATTAATATTATGTTACTTTATAAATTATATAAAAAAAAATTACTAACATTAAGTAGATTAATAGTAAAAACAACATAGTAAATATATGTATAAAAAAACACTAAATTAAGCTTTTTAATTATTAGTTCTAACTAACTGCCTCTTTGTCTAGATAGAAGCATCTGTAGACTAGCTAGATTCTATGCGCAAAGATGCTTTAGACTAACTAGACTAATAACACTTTTATATAAAGCTTATTTTTGTTTATTTTTTTTTTATATTATACACTCCTATTTTTCTTATTATAAGGATCTGTTACTGCTAGCACTGTATAAAATAAAAAAAGCTAAAGGATTATATAGTAAAGCTTAGAAAGTAAAGGATAAAAAAAAGAAAAGCTATTTATATAGTGTAACTAGCTTATTCTAACGCACAGTATTACTAGGGGCAAGTTCTAACAAATAAGGTAGAGTAAAGGTAGAACATAATTAGATAGACCTACATAGACAGAAGAGAGGTAACATGTACAAAAGGTAACCTTTTAGATAAAAAAAAAAGTTGCTAGTGTTTGTACATAGTAGTAGTGTTACAGCCTAGATATAAGTAATTGCGCATAAGCAGAATTACATATCTATGTTACAAAATGCTTATGTGCAAACCTCTATACATAAACATTTAGATATCCCCTTTTTTCTTTATATAAAGGAAAGATAAAGAGTAATAGAACTAGAAACATGTTGCCCTTACTTTACCTACCTTATACGCTGTGCACACTGTACACCACTCTTACTCTTGCTACTTAAGTGCTTATACTATAAGCAGCTAGCTGTTGGAGCCTATTTAACAATAATAATACTAAAAGTGTTATTTATTTATACCTCTATAAGTTGAAAAATTTTATACCTTTATGTATAATTAATAGGCATAGATTATATAAAAAGGTTTCTATGCAAAGTTTCTTTTTATAGTAGTTATAGTATGTCTTAAACTAATATAAGCTAGATTCTACTACGCTATATAATAGTTATACAACTTTAAATATTATGCGTAGAGGAAAGTTCTTATAAAGTTCTTTTAGTAGTTATATAAATAACGTTTATATAAGGTTATCTATTAACTATATATACACTTAAGTAATATTATATAGCTTATAGTGTATATGTGAAGCTATGTGGAGCACTAAAGACACGAGGAACTGCATTGAATGTATTGCTCGAGGAGTCCTTTGCAGGAGTCTATATATATGCAAAATAAGTGGGTGGGTCTTGGCAACAGACTATGGTGCTGATGCATCTGCCGATGCATCCGGCCATCGCGTGACGACACATCCGACACATCCGACTATCGTGTGACTATGCTGACGATGCATCCGAGTGTCATCAATGCAAACAGTATACTATATAAAGCTATTAGTAATAGGCTAATAAGTAAGATTGACCTCTAACTTATTTTCTAAATTATAAAGAACTATATAAAGATCTTCTTTTTTTTCTTATTAAAATACTTTATAAATATAAGTTATAATTTTTTATATAGCTATATTAATTTCTCTTTAACTTTATATATAAGACAAAAGTTAAAGATCTATCCTTTATAAATTAATAAATTATATAAAAGTACTTTAAACATGCTGCTTATAATTAAACTTTTTATTTTTATATTGTCTAATTCTTTAAATAGTTTTTTAGGTGTTGTAATTACACTATCTACACAGAGCTTAATTACTAAAGTATAGTTATTCTTTTTTTTCTAGGTTAAAAATATTATGTTTTATATAAGATTTGTATATAGCCTTTTATAGCCTTTTTCAGCTAGTTATAGTTCTAGTTTGTATAATAAATCTAATACTACTTAAAAGGCTGTTTTATGCAGTCTATTAATTAGAGTTGGTTGCTTACGTAGACAACCTCTGTTTTATGCCTATAAAGGATCCCTTTATACTAGGGCTAGTTTATCTAGATCTAGCAGTTCTTATGCAGGTTTATTTTTATCCTTTATATAATAATATAGTATAACTTGTGTGCAGTAGAGTCTTACTAGACTATTCTTTATCTTAATAATAATTTCTAGAGCCTTAATTCCCTTTACTATATGCAGTCCTGTATATCCCTTCTTCTCTTGCCACATCTTTACTTTAGAACTAAGTAAGAAATTTAAGACTTTATATAATATTAGGGTATTTTAAGGGTTAATTATATAATTAACATTAACATTTACTTTTTTACTTTAAAGCATTTTTATTGCCTTTTGTACAGCGTTAGCTTACATAGCAATGTTAAAAGATAGTGCAGAATCTATGTTAATTCTTAGGTACGTTCTAAACATAAGTAATGTAGGTATAAGACTGTTTAGTCCTACTATATTATTTAAAGCTTTAATAGCTATCTATAACATTAATTTATTATTTATATAATTATCTTATTCTACTTAGAGGATGTTATATGCATGTTGTAGTAGTGTGTACGCGCGCTTAATCTTCTTTATAGTCTAATAGGCTTTTACTAGCATTTATTAACATATTACTCTTATAATTTTTACATAATTCTAAAAATCTTTAGATACAAAGTTTATACTAGGGTTATATATAATGTAATTAGGTAGCTCTTAATATATGTTAATCTAATACTTATAAAGCGCGTTCTAGGTATCTTGTATAAATATTAATTTTAAAAAGGTTGCTGCTTAGAATAATATATCTATATTAATTACATGTAGTATGTTTTAGTTACTAATTTATATAAGATTAATTACTATTTTATAATTAAAGTATAAATTATTTTTAATTATAAACTTAAATCTTTATAGTGCTAGGTTATGTAGCTAACATATATAGTAAAACTTCTTAATTTTTTTAGGTATAGAAGAATTAGCGTTGTGTCTAGCTGTAAGGCCAGGATGGCGCTTACGTGTAAGGCCGAGATGGTGCTTACGTGCGACGGGTATATATACTATTCTGTACCCGAAAATCAACGTTGGTTGATTATTCGTACCTTTTGGTTGTATTGGCGGAGTGGTGCGGAGCCCCGTTCTTACACTAGCGTTCTTAAGCATTATGTAAAGCTGTTTTATATAAGGATAGCTAAACCTTTTATACAGTTGTTAAAGTTTGCATTTTATAAAGGAAAACATTAATTTCTTTTTTTATATGTTAAAGAATAGGTAACTTTATTTACACATAACTAAGACTTTAATTTTATTACTTTGTATAATTACATTTTATATGTTATTAAAGTACACATTTATCTAGTCTATGTTAGTAAGAGATAATACAAAGGGTGTTAATGTATCTAGTATGTACTATGTAACACTACTAACTAAATTAGTAATTTATATAGTACTACTTAATTTTATTAATTTTTATCTTTTAAAGCTAATACTTTTTTTATTTAGTGTCTAGTTTACTTTTATATAAAAGAATTTTTACATGTATGCTTTAAGTTGCAACTTTTTAATAGTAAAAATCCTTATAGCGCTAGTATTCTATAGTTTACCTTAGTATACTAAATAATATTAATTCTTAAGAATAAATTGTTCTGTGTAACGTACTTAACAGGTTGGCCGGCTACACAGGTTAGCCAGCCACTTTTGCTAAGCCCCTACTACACTCTACCTATCTACATAATGCCTCAACAATAACACTAGATTAAATCTTCTAAAGAATGTTAAATACAGCTGTTACAGCTAACAGACAGACTGTAATAACCTAATTAGCTGTCCCGCACAGCCTAGGCGACGTCGGATGGAAGACGCTTAGCTCCGCCTTAGACGAATCACGTGACAGGACGGATGAGGAATGGCTTCGGCTTTTAGACAAAAGCCTGACAGAGTGTAGCATCTAATAAGACCGCAAGCCATACAGGCTTGCAGGCGATGCAGGCTACGTGAGCATGCAAGCATGCAAACATACACTGCATGTAAACCCTATGTATATAGTCTTAATCTTAACTAAGGTTTAGAGGTTATAATTAATATTTAGATTTATTGTTAGACTACCCCCCTCTTTATAATAAATCTAAGAGACATTGTTTCTTTCTAATAAGAACTCTGTTGTTTGTATATTATATAATTATACCTCTAATTCCTGTCTAATCCTGCACTAGTAACGCCTAGCTACCCATACAGCTGCTAGGTGCAAACTACAGCCTGCCTTCTTTATACTTCTCTATATCCTTACTCTGCTAAGCAGACTGTACACCTAACTTAGCTAAGTTCTTCTTCCTGCTAAAAAACTTACTATAAGCTGTTATGCTCTAAAATTACTATTTCTTTAAAGCAAGAATTATAACATTAATTACTACTATCTGCAAAGTATAGCTCCTCACACCTCATCCTTTAATACTAGTATGACGGGGGCTAATGCTGCAGGCACTAGCAAGATCCTGTCTAGAAACAAGAAAGAATAGAACTAGTAAATATAATATCTTTAATAAAAACTTAAGATGCTTAAGGCCTAACTTTAACACTATGTCTAGCAACCTCTAACTTAACAGCTCTATGCACTTTATTTAGAGATAGCTAAGCTTAGAAACACTGCAGCAAAAAAAGCTAGCATTAAATTAAAGAAATTACTATGTCTAGCTCTACTTAAACCTTTTAATAAAATAGCTAAGAATCTTAAGCTGTTCTTCACTAAGTGCTACCTTTATATGTAATATAACAAAGGTGCCTTTAAAACAGACAAAGAAATAATCTTATAAATAAGACTACACTTAAAAGAATCCTTAGTAATATAGTTTTAACTACACGCAGATAACTAGATAAAGTATAAGACAACTAAAGATGTGCTTTTTTTTAAGACTTAAAGAATCTTCTAGAACTTTAAAGCCTTTAAACAAGCATTAACTACTATTTATAGAATAGCTAATTAAAGAAAAAAGGCAGTAAATAAAATAGACACTCTATAATAAGAAAAAGGCTTAGTCTAACTCTATGTAACTTACTTTTGCAAATAATTAGCTATTAGCAGATAGACTAATTAACTAGCTGTTAAAAGAATGTTCTATAATAGACTATCTAATGCAGTAAAAAATAAATTTATGCATAATAGAAAACTAGACACCTTTAAAGCATATATTAAAAAAGCAACAATATATAATAAAAAACACTAAGAATGTCTTAAAGAAAAATAACTAGGTGTAACACCTTAGAAACCTAACATGTCTCTAAAAAAGAAAAAGAACCTCTAGTTTAACAGCAAACCTATAAACCTTAGTTACACTAGGCATACATAGGGCTTACCTAAGAAAAAAAGTAAGTTCTGTTAAAGTAAAAAGCTACCGCTATCTAACAAATAACAAAAGTAGCTTAAGAAAAAAGCGTGCCTTAACTATAAAAAAGTAGAACACTACTGCTAAGAGTGCCTAGACTCTAGGAACCTAGAGAATAAAGATAAGAGACTGTCTATAAAAGCAATGTACATAGAATAAGGTCTGTTAGCGACTAAGATTCTAGACAGACTAGACAAACAACTCTACTAGAGATGCAGAGGTAACTACAAATCTAAGAGATGCCCTATAAAATACTAGGAAGTTAAGGTCTAGGCTAGCAACAATTTATTCTAGGCACTAGAATAAGCAGCTGTCTACAAAGGATAGCAAGGCTAGACTTAGGCAACAACGTATGTTGTAAATATTAAAGAAGGGAAAGAATAATTTCTATTAAGATAGATAATAACTAGGATCTTAGCATAGAAGTTAGATTACTAATTTAGTTATAGTAACTATTAGAAATGCAGTAATACTTACAACATAAAATACTGCAGAAAAACAATGTATAAAGTACACATTAATAATAACGCTAAAACCTATAGGATAATTAAGAAAATTGCTATAGTACACTACACTGTTATAAATAAGAAAGAACAGTAGAAACTCTTCTAAAAAATTCTTAAAAAAGAAGAAGGCCTAGACTAGCAATGCACACCCCTGTTAACCCTAGACCTGTGCAATAAACAAACTAGCACTCTACCTCCTGCGCTAGCAATTACGCGCAAGGAGCTTAAAACATAACAGGCTAAAAGTTATTATATTCTCTATAAAAGCTTCTAACATAATAAATTTTACTGCAACTATTAGAATTACCTATTATAGATTATAAAAACTAAAGCATATTCAAGATAAACATAAGTCTAACTAATTCCTATCTATAATAACTTAAAGGAATGTCCTTACACATAGTACTTATGCATTAATAAGTATTATATTAAGCATTAGCCTACTAAACACTAAGCTAGATAGTAGCTACATAGAATCTAGGAAAGTAAACTATAGACTAACACGCTCCCTAGAATGTCTACAACTTGTGAGATGCCTAAATGCCTCTATTATAGCACAGGCACAAGCCACAAACAAAAACCCTAGACTAAATGTAATAATTAGCCCACCTGCAAATTTTATTACTTTTAATAAAGAGCTTACTAATAAAGTAACTAGATGCCTTAGCATTACAAAATTAAAAATAACTAGTGCTTAGTAAAAAAATGTATAATATAAGAACACTAAGAATATAAAATATAACTAGACTAAGAACATAAATAATTAAACATAATTATGTCTATAGAAGAAGATAACAGCATAGACTACAAGGAAACCTTACATAAGCTACGCGTTCTTATCGCTGTAGAACAAGGACCTAGAAGAAGTCTAACAACTACAATCACCCTAAGACACATAGGCCTTAAATAGAAGGGCCTTACACTAATTAACAGTAGCTGCATGTTTACAGCAATTAACTCTTCCTAGGTTAATAAGAATAGAATACTCTTTAAAAGAAAAAAGAAACTCTTTTAAGTGTCTCTAGTAAACGCGTTATTAATTAAGTACAGAGAAGGTTAAATCTAACTTAAGATCTATAAATTAATAATAAAAGCTAAGGACATAAGAGACTAGATATTATTTAGCATATTACTACTTAGAGGAAAATACTAAGTTATACTTAGTTACAACTAGCTTTATAAACATAACCTAAGAATTAACTAGCACATAATAACTATAAAAACAAAAGATAAACATAACTATATAACATAGTTAGCATGCTACAAGAACTTATGTCTTATACATAGATAAGTAAAAGAAGGAAGTAGATATCTTTTAAGAAAAAGGAAGCTATAGAAGTTCCCTTACTAAGAACTAAAAGCATAGGCTGTTTATCTAATAAAAGAAAAACTTATTAAG